AGCAGCTTCAGACGGGAGAATGCTAGCAAAGCCACGCGCCAGGTGCGTGCAGCTGCAGTGGCTCGAAGGTTGCTTGGCTTCAAGCGTGGCGATGCTGGAGCACATGACCCCCCTTTCGTTACCATTCCAGCCACAGGAAATGGCAAACAGAAAAGAGTTGGAATGTCTTACGTCATTTGCAAAACTTGTGGCAGTATGGCTTTGACAGCGAAGCGTTTGGCAAAGATTGCTTGTGAACAGTATGCTTCCAGCAAAGGGCCCAAACGAGAGCAGTTGGTGGAAAGATTGCGTGCGTGCCTCAAAAATGCAGACATCAGCGATGACCTCAAGAAGGGTGCCCGCACAGTTTTGGAAATCATCGACTCTGGAGCAGTTCGCACCACTGATACTGCTGCAGACAGCACGCATCAGATTGAGGCCATTGTGCTCCAAGTGCCAGACAGCGAGCTGCTTCGCGAGCTTTGGACATTTTGGGATTGCAGCAGGATGGCGCTGTGGATCAGAACCCATGACGGGCTCTGACAGCACTATGCGGTTGGGGACTATGAATGTACGGTCCTTGGGAGGCCGCTTGGGTGGTGTGCTTGACTTTGCTCAGCTCCAGAATTTACATGTTCTGTGTCTTCAAGAAACTAGAGTTAACAATCACAGCTGGAATGCTGTGACTCGTGCCGTCAAGGCACGCGGGTGGCAACTTTTCCCTGGCCCTCAAGGAAGAAATTCGAAAAATGTAGTGGAAGGTGGTACATTGGTTCTAACAAAGTGGCCTGCTGAGGCCTTGGCCCTTCCTGTCGACATGGTGTCTGTGGAAAGATCCATGGCCGTCAAACTCTATAGACCTCAGCAAAGGCCGTTGATTCTCATCAATGTTTACTTACATGCTTCAGATCGCACAGCTGCCAGCCGTGCGCTGGGTGCGCTGTTCGAGTTTGTTGCTGCTTGTGGTGAAGATACAGTGATCATGGGTGACTTCAATTTGGAAATTCATTGTTGGCCAATTTCTAACGTTTTGGCTACTGGACAGTGGCGGTCCTGTGATGAGCTGGTTTGCGGAGATCGTGTTTTAGGTGGTACACATCGAACTGCTGCAGGTGTTTATACAGGTGTGGTCATTGACTATGGCTTGTGCACTCCTCGGTTAATTATTACTGGTAGGGAGCAACATCTTGGCGTGGCTGACCATGACGCGGTGGTTTACAACTTGCATGTGCCTGGTTCATTATCCACACCGTGGACTCTCCCAGTTGGTGCCCCTTTGCATTCTGCAAAGGTCGCTGAAGCTTCTTGGCTAAGTGCTTGGGAAGAAGTATGTGACGATTTTGGAATGCATTGAGTACAGGCAACGTGGACTCTGCTTGGACCTTACTTAGCAACTGCGCAGAATCTCTTCTTCTCGCACGTGGCAAAACTGGTCGTGCTATGCAAATTGCCAGTCCTCCGTCTTCAAAAGCGCCTTCTTTGCAAACAGTGAAAGAGCGCAAGCTCAGACGCTTCGCACGAAGAGTGGTGGAGTACCAAAAGGCCCCGTTGCCAGAGTTGGAGAAGAAGTTGGTTCGTGATGGCCCTCATTTACATCATTCTTTGGCTTTTTTCTCTTTGGATGACCCCAGGTTGGTTAGTGCAGTGCTAGAATTGGCAAATGCAGAAGCTACAGCAGCGTCCAAGTTACGCTTGGAGGCGTGGAAGGACAGCGTGCAGGAAAATGCCACCAAACTAGGCAGGTGGGTCAAACAGGTGCCGCCCGCCAGTCCTACTGCAAGTTTTGATGGCCCCATTCTACCTGCAGATAGGGCCAAGTGCGCAGCATTGGATTGGGAGAGGTATTGGAATCCAGGGTCGCTTCCGAATTTGAATCTGGGGGACCAGTTGTACTCTCAGATTGGCTCTGCAAGCGATCCATTGCCGGATGACTGTATTCAGGTTAGTGGTTCTGAATTGGTTCGGATTGCGTTCAAAGCGAAGGACAAGGCTCCGGGCATGGATGCCTGGACAGCTCTCCATTTGTGCAATCTTCCCATTGCTTTTTGGGATCAGGTCGGTGCTCTTTGGGATGCTTGCTTGCGACATGGCTGTGTTCCTGCGATGTGGAAAGATGTTAGAATTGCTTTGTTACCAAAAGCTACTGGTGGCATGCGCCCTTTAGCCATTGTCACTGTCCCGTGGCGTATTTGCATGAGTGCCACTCTGAAAAAATTACAGCCTTGGATTGCGGAATGGGCTTCGCCCGAACTTTTTGGTGGTCTACCAGGCAAGGGCATCATGGAAGTCCATGAACGTTTCTACGAAGCTGTCAGCGCGGCAAAGCAGTCTCGTGTCGATTTGGTCGGGTGCAAAGCTGATGTTCGCAAGTGTTTTGATTCAGTTTGCCCTCAGACAGCCATTAAAGTGTGGCGATGGTTCGGTGCTCCCTCATCAATTTGTGATTTACTCGCTGATTTTTACAGTGAACAGCGTCGTTGGTTTGCTTGGCAAGGTTCTTATCACCCTCATCCGGTTATTGCTCAACGGGGTTTGCTGCAAGGCTGTCCAGCCAGCCCTGCGCTACTGAACGCTTTGATGACAGTTTGGGTGAGGTTTGTCAAACGGCAGGAACCAAGGATTTCTTTGGCTATTTATTTGGACGATTGCACCATGTGGAAACAAGGTTGTCAAAGTTTTGAAGTGGTCATCAACGCCATGACTGCGGGAGCGCAAGCCGATGCTATTCTCGGCTTCGAACTTCACCCTGACAAATTGGCTAGCTTCGCCACCAAACCGCATCTGGTTGCCAAGGTGCGCAAGAAGAAAGATTTAGTAGGTGTACCTGCAGATACTTTCACACTGCTTGGCATTCAATACAATTTGTCACGCCCCAGTTCTTGTGTTGATGCGGATATTGTCAGTGACAACATTCAGCGACGGTGTCTCAAAATTCGTTTGGCAGCACAGCACTTAGGCACTCGCATTGCATTGGTGCATAAGTTGGTGATATCTTTATTTGCTTGGTCCGGTGCTTTTCATCACTTCAGTGCAAGAACCATTCGAACATGGACATCTATGATCGAAACTGCACTTTGGGGTCGAAGGGCTCCTCCAGGTAGGAGCCGGCTGCTCTTTTGGAATTCTTTGGGTTCTGCAAGACTACATCCGATGTTTGCGCTCCAGTTCACCGCCGCCCGGGCGGAATGGAATCGGCAATGCCGCCGGGCCCAAGGGTTGCCTGCAGCTACCTCGCCTGCTCCTCGCTGGAAAGCAGTACTCAAAGATTGGAAATGGCGACTTGACGATGGCCTGTGGCACACGCCTGCTGGGATTTTGAAACCTGGGTGGATGTCTTTGAAAAGCTTGCAAAAGGCCGCTATCCATTCATGGCTCGTTGGTTTGTGGACTAAAGACACCAAAACGGATGGTCGATGGCCAAACGGCAAGGAGCCGGTTTTCCTTTTTCAGGCAAATGCAGCTTTAGGCATGGATTACTACAGTCGCAGGGTTTTGACTGGTGCTGCAGTGGATGGCAGGGTCACAGAGCGCTTTGGTTCTGCTTTTGAGTTGTGAATGTGGATTGCGGTCTCCTGATCGAGAACATCTCACTTTTCACTGCCAAGCGCAGCCATGGGATGGTGAGTTCAGGAGCGCTACTGAACGTCGTTTGCTGGTTCCACTTGTGGATGCTCCTCCTGTGTTGCCTTTTTCCAACATGGTAGCAGATCCTGCTTTGGTTACTTTTATTCAGCAATTCGATCCTCTTCAGCGACCCACCTTGGGTTTGGACGGCAGTTGTATCATAGCTACTTCCTGTGATCGATGGCAAAGAGCTAGCTGGGCGGTTTCGACACTTTCAGGCACCACTGTTCAAGGTGCCGTGACTGGTTTTGAGCAAACACCTGCTGCAGGTGAGCGTGCTGCTCTTCTGCAAGCTTGTTTAGCCTCTTCTGCAGCTAACAGACCGGTGATGCTCTTGATTGACAATCAGGCTTTGGTGCGGCGGCTTCAGCGAGGCATTAGCACTGGCCGTTGGGAGGGTGACTTGCCGCTTTTCTGGCAGCGGATCAGCGGCTTATTGATTCAGGGCACTGTTTGCACTTGGATCCCTTCTCACAACAAGGTGCCTGACTGGACACCACCAGATGGTTGGATTGATGTTCATCTCTGCCGCGTTCTCAATGCGACAGCCGATGCTCAGGCAGGTGAGGTGTTGCGTGACTCACGCTCCATGATCGCTGCGGCTGTGCAGCGACATCAGCGAGCCGTGGCTTGGGCTGCAGCAGTTTGGCGTCTGCAGAGGCTACGGACTTTACCTTTTTGGCAAGTCGTACTTGATCAACAAACATTCCATGCGGAATGCTAGCTGGCGCACTGTGTTTACTTCTTTTTTATTTCAGGCAGGTTTCGCTTCCTTTGAGTTTTGCTTGGAGAAGTATGGGAGCTTGATTCTCGCAGATGGCATACTATGGCGTCTTAACTACTTCACTTCGGTGAGGAGCAGGTTGACGTCCGCTTACAACAACAACAACCACTCCTTTCACCAGGATCTGGTGCTGTTTCGAAGAAAGCATTGCAGCGGCCCGGCCAAAGTTCAGCAGAAATTCTTCAAGACATTTCCCCACCGAGAAGGTTATAAACAAACTATAATTATACACATATTATAAATACTAGTAGGCTTAGAACATGAAAGAGCAAACCTTGGCTTTTGAAGGAAGTGCATAGGTGGCGGTTCTGAAATATGGCAGATATCACTCAAATCAGAGGCTGTGCCTATGAGCCTACGAGGTTTTTCGGATGGCCTTAGCAAGACCGATCCCATCGGGGTGGGCCCGCGAGCCGGCCAAGTCCAGGTCGAAGAGCGGAACACCGGGACGCCACTGCTGCTGGACGTGGCCGCCACTGACTCCTCCAATGAGGCCATGGCCCTGAGATGATCGTTTTCCATGGGAAAAAATCAGTTGCGAGAAACCTGGAAAGCATGGCTTGCTGAGGCGCACGTGATCACTGATGGTTTGGCAGCCCCAGAGGCGCGATTGATGCCGCTGCTGGGCTTTTTGACGAAGGCCTTGCGCGAAGCGAACTTTCCCACGTTGCTCGCGCAGAAGGCGGACTTCAAGCTGTGTCGAACCCAAGAAGGATCTTTTCCTTTTTTTTGGACGGATCTTTCTTTTCTGTTTCGGAAACGGTTGGCAAATGGGTAATGTTGCATCGACAATAGTAAAGGGGGGTCCTCCCCCAATTTTTTTTAGGGGGGTCTGCTTTGCAATAGTAAATCGAAAATCCCAACTCTTCCCCAAGGCCTCTGTAAGGTTTTGCCAAATCCTCTCTTTTCTGATAGGCACTGGTGGGATCTTCATTGGATTCTGATCGAGAACCTCTGTTTTCTGATAGGCTTTGGTGAGAATCACAATTACAAACCATGCAGCCAAAATTAAAAAACACTAAGGAAGAAGGGAAAGAAATACAGCTGAGCCAGAAAGGTTGTTTTTTATTGCACGTGCTAATTCCAATTTTTAATTGCACATGCAAGGACCTGCAAGGCGGTACCCTTTGTGGACCGTTTTTTTGCAATTTTTAAAACGGATTTTAATAAAGAAAACAGCTCTTTTGAACAAGGTAAAATTTTTGATGTGGTAAAGGTTTGCTTTGTTAATTTTGCTTTTGAAAAGCATGCAATCACAATTTAAAACCATTCAACCACAATTAAAAACACTAAGGAAGAAGGGAAAAAATCAGCTAGAGCCAGAAAGGTTGTTTTTTATTGCAAGTGCTAATTCCAATTTTTAATTGCAAATGCAAGGGCCTGCAAGGGGGCACCCTTTGTGGACATTATTTTTTGCAGTTTTTTAAAAGGATTTTAATAAAGAACGCAGCTCTTTTGAACAAGGTAAAGTTTTGAGTTGGTAAAGGTTTGCTTTGTTTTTTGCTTTTGAAAAACATGTACAGCTGAGCTGAAACTGGTTCTGAGTTTTTTCCTGCATCAATACTAAATCTCAATTAGCCCTTTTACAATTTAGTCTTGGAAAATCTGATAATTTGCGAACATTCTGAAAATTATTTGTAGCTATTGCACGCACTTTACTATTGTCCATCCAACATTAGCATGGATTTTGACCCTCGGAATCGCTCATCAGTGAAGAAAGCAGACGGGTCATGGTGTGCCCCAGCGAAGCAGAGTGTGCCGATGTGTGCCGTGGCCAGGGTCTCAGCGTCGACATCTCAAAGGCTGACGCCAGCAAAGCAGAGGACAAGATCCGCATCCTGAATTGCATCAGACTGCCGCAAGCAAGGACGAAGGCCAGGTCCGGTGCATGGCTTGCATGCCCACAAATGAGAACGTACAGCATTGATTCTCCATGTGAAACTAATAGCCGCGCATGCCGAAACATATTTCAAGTGCAAAACGTTTTCTCTGATTTTTTCCGTCATTGTTTGGGGGTCTCAGTGCATGTGCAGAGTATATGAGCGGAAAGTAAGATGGTCAGATTTGACATGTGAGGTAAAACGTTGAGTTGTCAGGGCAACTGATCGAATGTGCACATGATTCATGGGTGATATCAGTGGCACATGGGTTGACCTGTAGATGGACGTAGACCTGACACCCCTCCGTGGACCTGAGGAATTGACTGACGTCGCGCCCCTTCAAGATCCAAATTATTCAGCTGTGACGCTGGGTCTCGATCGACTTGAGGTGGCGCAGTGTGTTTCTTTGGGATGTTTCTTTGATCTCTTGGGAAGTTGTTTCTGTTGAGTTCTTTGATCTCTTGGGAAGTGAGTTTCGTCATGTTGCTCCCAAGATGGGCTGAGGAACAAGGCCCTGGCAGCGCATTTTGCCATCGCTTCCTGGTTTGGTGCCGTTACGCAGGGGCACGACACCAGCAACCTTCGGAGAGCCCTAGCGGCCGACAGCTCACGGCATATGGTGGAGTTGTCCTTCACAGGCTGCCGTGGCTTTGGGGATGACTCGCTGCAGCAGCTGCTGAATCACTTGCCGAGGCTTTTCGGGTTGGGGTTCCAGCATGTCGCACAAGGAAAGTTGAAAGATGTTGAAAGTCTGATCATGGAAGACAGCATTCTTCGAAAAATTCTGCCATTGTTGTCATAGCAAATTTACCAGTCCTTCAGTTGGTTCAAGGGAATCCCTTAAGACACCCCTATATTTGATGCGGGAAACCCATGTTTTTCCGAAGATTTTCCACCAGTGAACCAGCTTTTCAAAGGGCAAAACTGCAGGAAACTTCGTCTGCTCCGCTTGGATCTGGCCTTTAGTGGGGTTCAATCATGGAACTTCCAGAAGGCGCGGGTGGCGGGGCCTGAAGGATTTTCACTAAGTCGGGGATTTGAATGGATTTGACCAACAAAAATAGGGCTATGCTATGGATTTCATGGATTGAGGATATACTATGCACAAATATGGATTAAACTTTTAACCAATAGATATCAATAGATGTAATGGAATGGTAAGGTGTGCATTTCTCATTCCGTCGAATTTGCAGGAGATGCCTCCACTGGAGCAGCTCACCCTGCGCTTCACGGGCTCCAGGTTGGCAGATGCGTCCGGCTTGGCACAGATGCTCGACACAGAGCAGTGCCTCGCAGGGTCGCTGAAATCTTTACAGCTGTGGTTTTCCAACCTTCCGTTGGCAGCTGAGCTTTTGTGGATGCGGATGTGATTTTGGATATCATGTGTATTGCGATTTTTATTACTCGTGAATGGTATCTGTATCATGTTTACATAGAGTTCTTGAAGACATTTCTCAGGTCCTTGGTGGAGCTGGGCTCATGGGAGCCGCTCACAAAACTGCACCTGGAAGAGTTGGTTTTACAGCTGAAGCGCTGTGGCCAAGTTCCTCCTGAAGCAAAGCAGTCGTTGATCCTCCGCTGCATTCAATGCCACATTGTCACATTGCCACACGGGCACTACACATCCCCCACCGTGAATTCCCCTTGTTCAACTTGGAGTAGCTGAGTAGTCAGGGCCAAGTCGCCATTTCGTACGATGTGACACGGCTCCAGCAAGGTATGAGTGTGTCAAACAACTGAAGAGAGCTAGGGGGGGACTGGATCTTCGGTTGACGATTGAGGCCGGGGAGCTCCTAATGCTGATTTGGTGTGAGTTAATGCACGAAACCTAGGTAGCCGAGACAATTTAAAAATGTTCAAATATGAGTTTATCATGGTTCATCAATGTCACTCAGATTTTAAAAATATCAGATCAATCCATGCATTTGTCATGTTCTTGTTCACAGTTCAAGCCAGGGAGTTGCTGAACCTTCCTGGTCATGGTCTTGGTCTGGATGTCAGCCGCAAGTCCAGGATCCGATCCGGAGGTTTTTTGAAAAGAAAACATGGAGTGTTGTTTGGGAAAAAAGAAATCACTGACCTTTTCAAGCACATGGAGTGTTGTTGTGTTGTTTGGGAAAAAAGAAATCACTGACCTGTTGCTGTTTACAACAATCTATTTGAACGAAAAAACAGAACACTCCATCAATTTTGTTTGGATGTTGTTTTCATGGTAGCTCCAAGACCTGTTTCACACAGCATGTCAGCTTTCAGGAGGTGGAGCTGGCTGGTAGCAAGGCTGTGGACTACGTAGATTTTGACGATGCCATTGACGACTGTGGAGGGCGAGCTCCCTTTCCATGCAGCCACAGCAGATGCCATGAATTCCATGAAAATGTTCATGGCTTTTGCCCTAGACATCGGCTACTGCGACACTGGTGGAAACTTGCATCCTGGTGGCGGACAGCCCCTCGGCCAGTTGTGTTTAGTTATGATGTTTTGTAGAGTTAAACATAATCTACAGTCATCCCCAAAAAGATAGAACAGGTTCAACTTATCATTATTTCAATCGGATTTTACTTTTCCACCTATTTGGGGGTTGATTTTTCGCCTTTGCGGTGTAGCGGAAGCTTAGCCCTGTTGCCTGCCAGGCTTGGCGATGGGCCGAACTCAGCTTACTTTTTACATTGCAGGCTGCTGCTGAGATTCAGCAGCGGACGACCCTTGCCGTGATCCTGCTGTCGCTGTGCCTCAGTTGCACGGAGACTTGTGAGGGCTGGCCATCTTGAATTTTGAAACATCTTTGAACTGGGTTTGTTGGAAAAGGATGGAAAGGGGTACAGTAGTACACCATAAATTATGGCTATTTGAATGGGAAAGTGACGATGAACCAGTGGATTTAGGATGATTTAGGGGTATCCCATTTTCTCCTGGTCATCTTTGATGCTAAGTTCACGGCAGGTACCCTGTGGCCTGCTTGTCACTGGAAGAGTCTCTGGGAGTTCCATGGGCTGCGATCTGCACTTTGCTCTCCGTGATAGTGCTGAGTGACTCAGATCTTGCAGTCGCACTGCTTGTACTCGAATTTTCCAATCCAGATAGTACAAAATCAGAATCACGACGTATCGAAAACACCATAGGAAATCATAGGTATTGTCAGGCTGCAATTGAGCTAACCACCATGTTTATGCGGATGTTTATCCATGTGACTTGGAGATGATTCAACGGCGCAGCATGGTGCCGTTGAGCAACCAACGTCCCAGGTAGCATTGTGACGACGAGCATTCGCTTTGACACCGTGAGAGCGCAAATTCTGAAGGAAGCGGTGGCAACAGAAGCAAGTTACTCCCAGGTGCCCTGTTCGAATCCTTCCAGTGTTTGTTCTTTCACAAGATGTATATGTATGTCTCTTTGAGAGGTTTCTGACACGTTTATCCCCAATAAGAATCAGAGTGGGACAATCGAAGGCCAAACCGAGAAAACCGAGAGAGACAAGAACGCCATGAGTAAATATAAACCATGCTTGGCTGAAAAAAGGAATGTAAGCAAAGGCCAACCTGAGCGAGGGCCTTATGTTGTCCACATAATATGTGGGTTTGTCTGAAATAGTGTACCCCTAAATCTACTGGAATATCATTATTTTCTCTATTCAATTAACCATTTAGGGATCCCATTTTCAGACACACCCATGTGAACCAAGAACCGATCTTGTCAAGACATGGCGACATGGCAGGTGCTTCAGCTGCCAGAGACTCAGAGCGTCATGCTCCGTGTTCCTACAATGGGCTGCGGCTATGCAGATCCTCGAGAACTACGTCAACAAAGCGAAGATTTGCGGCTTGGAAGCAACATGAGACGTGCGCCTACTAACTTCCTCATGCTTCGCTCTGTACATGTGAGTGTGCTGACATGCATCCATTCCTTTTCATTCCACTCCATTCCTGCATGTTTTTGACTGAATTCAAGTCAAAATGCGTGCCTGCAGGGCTGGAATATTTTTGGGTGCGCAACAACATCTCCCTCTATTGCGGTGCCTTGTCTCGTGTATTCCTGGGGCGTGTTTTTTTTGTTGAGAGCTTCTCCACGTCGCAAACTTCCACGTCCTCATGGCTTTGCCTCAGGAGAGCCATGAATGTGGCGCTGCCAGATGCTACATTGAAGCTGAAACTGCTGACCAATTTGATTGACGAAGAGAAGCGAAGCTGCTCGATCATGTTAGCAGCTTCTCGTGCTGGTGCCAGTATCTAGATATTTCTTCTCTTCGTGCCCCATGGACAGGCTATCCAAATTATAACGTCGTGTCCTTGAGTTGTTTATACAGACCCAAGTGAATTTTTTCTTTTGGAAGGTTTCACCTGTTTTCAACTTCTTTTGGCCACAATCCTTTCAAACATGTGGCGCCCTTCAAGAAGGTTTCACACGTGCGCGTGTACAAGTTGAGAGATGCAGAATGCATATCATGCAATATCATGCATATTATTGCAAGCAGATGTTTTCTTGGGGGCTGTCCCAGTGAAGTTTGTTTTGATGATCCAATATGATCCAACTAGATGAATTTATGATTTGCAGGGACCTCCCGATATTTATCCATATTTGCTTTCTCGGATTAATCCAAAACAGTTCACCCCTCAAGAATCCCAAGACATGATCATGGTTTCGTGATGTTTCCTGCACATTTTCAATTTCGTCCAGCTACATCGAGCAGCAAGGCCCGCAACAAGTTTTGGACGCGCTTCGATTTGAATTGATGTGCGAAAACATGCAATCCGTTCAGGAAGCATTCAAGGGCCTCGAGGCGCGCAGGGATTCAGTGTCCATTTTGCTTCGCCATGAATAAACTGACTCAACCAGAAGGTGTGCAATCTGGTTTCAAACATTTGTATCTTTTAACCTGGTTTCTAATGTAGCCTACAGCCTACAGTAGACAAGGCATCTAATGTGGCCTACCCAAAGTGCGCCTCCGGATAGGACCGCCTTGCGAGCGAAGAAATGGTCGCTTTGGGTGTGCGGATCGCCGCTGTCCGGGACACCTTCGCCGAGATGAGCGGGGCCAGTGGCCAAAAATGCTGTCAGGCCCCGCCTTGAGTGACACAAAGAAACCGCAAGATGTCTGACTTAGATGGAGTTCCTGCCCAAAATTGCGAAGTGAGTCATTATTGTCATGAACATGGTCTTTCCATACCCCCACATTGGATTGAGGCATAAAACGCGGTTGGTGTTTTGAGAATCATCTAATTTTTGAACTTGGCAATGGAATCTGCGAAGCTTCCGCTGGCCAGGTAGTTCTGCAGGTGGAAGATTACTATTCCTCCGTGTTTCTCATGGATGTCACTTTGACCAGGCCACGCCATAGACGACAGGAAAAACAAGTTTCTCGAACTTGGGGACCCCACAATCACCAGTTTGGGAGGGAAAAATGATGATGCCGCCATGGGTTTTGGAGGGTCCTCGCTTGAAAAAATAGCCAAGGTCACGTTCTTTCATAATGATTTATGGAGCTGAGCGACTTGCCTCTCAAAAATATAGTTTCTGGGAATATGACGTGCCTGCTCGAAAACAACCACTTCTGAGAAGTCTTGAGTGTTTTGGTTGTTGATGTTGCTGAGTTTGAAGTTTCCATTCCATGTTTGGAGCAGGCTCGAGAATCAGCTGAGCGATTTGACCAAGTTGGCGGACAATTTTGGGCTGTTGGATGACGTGAAATCAAAATGGGAGACTTCACTGAGGCGAGAACTCAGAAACCAAAGGAACCCAAGGAATCAAAGGAACCGAATGAAACGGCTTTTGACCATGATATGTGTGTCCAAAGTCGACAGGTTGGATCGTTTCATCCAGTGCCATGCCGCCGTGCCAGGCTTTGCAATGATGCATCCAGTGTCGGGCCTTTGACCATGGCAGGGACCATTTTCTTGCAGATTGTGGCGTTGGTCGTGTCCTTTTTCATGGCCGTCCAATATTTCCTCCGTTACGCTCCCAGGAGACTGTTCGGTCTTTTCCCACCCTGGTGCCGTGTGGTCATGAAACTGGATGAAAACCGCCATGCCGCTATGCGTAGGAGACTGGACTACTAGAGGTTGAAGAAACAAACCAACTAAACTCAAACCAACCTCCCAGCAATATGTTTTCTAGTTATCAACAGGTTTTGCTGTATGGTTACCAGATGTGGAAAACCCATGAACATGCCACTATATTAGTTTTTCCACATTTTTTTGATTCTTTTTGTATGTTTACCTTAGGGTACCCAAATTCCATCGTAGGCCGCAGCCTGACAAGATGCGTTGCAGGATCCGTTCTCGTCTGTCCGACTTCCTTCTGGATGCCTTGCTGCTGGACACCGAGGAGTCCAATGAGACGTTCTTGGAGGTGTGGGAGTTCTGTCACATTCTTGATATTTTCAAATATACTTGTTGTGCTACGGAACTCATTTGTGTCGTTTGATGGCAAACCATTTCAAGTTCACCCAAGTTCCAGTGGTGTTCCTCTTGAAACTACAAAATGAAGAAGCGGGAACTGAGGCCGCATTTCTGGCCCTGCCCTACTTGGTCCTGGTTGTGGTGTTCCTGTTACAGCTGTTGTGCCGAAAGACGAGTCGGAAGAGGCCGCGACCCACGGAGGTGCTTTATGTTTCTAGGCAGATGCCGTTTTTGTGTGTTCTGCGAAAGAGGTCAAGAAATAGGTGATGCAAGCCTACATTAGCTACATCCACCAGTCTAAATTCAAGCCGGGAAATGATACAACAATGGATAAAGGGGGTCCGATTTTTTTAAATTACTAACGCTTTCCGTCAGGATCCAAGAATTTACTTCATTCAAATTGCCCTTTCCACGCTGCATCTCGGTGTTCTTGGTCCTGAGGAAAAGTATTTTGGGTTGCGCGGAGCTTACTACCCCTTCAAGGTGGCGATCTTCCAATGCTTCACCGTTGCGGTGCAGGCCTTGGGAAAGATCTCCTTGTTGGGCGGCCTCGTTACCTTCGCCCAAGAAGAACAAGACGCGAATGCCATTCTTTGGCTTAGTGTCGGCTTCTGGGCTTTCTGTGCCCTACTCTGTTGGAACAGTCTCTATCCCGCCTTTCTTTTGATGTTCCCTGACACCGCCTGGGCTCGAATTGGAGCAGCATTTATGGATGCTGCTCTGGACCTTGGCTACATCTTGACCTACCTGGGTATGGCATCTAGGTTTCAATTCATTTGGTTTGACAAGTCTCACGGGTTTCAACGTCGTTTCATTGATGGCTGGGCAGATGGCGTTCAGTCGGGAAACGCAAAAGTGTAATTGCTGCAAGGTGTTGGTGGCCATGCTGCGATTGCAGACAGCCTCCGAAGGCTGGGGAAATTTTGGCGAGGACTTGACGTTGCAATTCAGAAACTAAGCTCAATGAAGTCAATGCGTCAACCGGCATCAAGTGAAGTGTAAGCGTCTCAAGCGCCTTGTTTCGCATGGCATAGCGGCGCCATCCGAGTGGGATCTTCACCGCAACTTTTTTGATATCTGAGGCAATCGTATTAGCCCCGTGTTCGCCTTTCCCACTGACTTTCTGGGCTATGGCGCCGTGTATTTCAACTTAGCACACGCATGCTGCATTGCACACATTTTGCAGCAAACCAATTGGAGCTTGCCGGTGCGACCCAGGCCTTGACACTAAGACTAAACAGCTTGCCATGCCATATCTTGCCATGCAAAGATGTCAGTTTCGTTGCTTGTGAACTGACAACAGCAGACAGCATGTCAGGGGCGAGCGCCAAAAACGGAGATGCCTTTCAAGCCTCTTTGGGTGTTCCCTTTCCATTGGGCTCCTTTCGATGCTGGTGATTCTCCTTGTGACCCAGGACTGCATAAGATTTGTGTGAGTGACCTCGAGCCGTGATTTTGATTTGACGACGCTTGTTCAAGCGCCTTTGCAGGACGTTTTTCCAATGACCCATGGACAGGATTTCACGTTGAGCTCTCAGGGAATTGTTTGTGTATCTTTTTGTCATTGGAGGTCTTCATGAAAAGATCTAACAAGAGGTTGTAGAATGGTTACAAGTGTCTCCTAGGTGTTTTCCGTGCCGTTGCTCTGGCAATGCTGACTCAGCTGGCCAACAGATTGACAGCTGCACCCTTGCAGCCGTCCTCAGACAGAAGCAGGCCGGGCGGATCACCGGCGGTTTGTTTTTCTGGGTGTGTCTGAAAATGGGGTACACCGAGACCCCACGGTACCCCAAAATGTTCATTCAATGGTGACAATCATGATAAACCATCGAATATTGAGGCACGCTCTTTTCGGACAAACCCATCTGTTTTTGGATGCTTACGGATATGCGCTGACTTTAGGTGAACCTCGCTGCGAAGAGCATCACTGCTGTGGGCCCAAAAGCTTTCAGCTCACTTGGACACGTGCAGCGCCTGTCATTGGCGAACAACAGCTTGATCCATCTGCCTCCGGGCCTCTTCGAAGGCAGGAAGTTTTGAGCGGCGTTGGTCAAAGAACATTTCTGCAAAGGCTTCGAGCAGCCATGCAATGACACAATGTGTGATGTTTGTAACAGCCATACATTGATGTTTCAGGTCTGTCATCTTTGGAGCAGTTGGACTTGACTCGAGTTGAGCTGGCAACACTTCACGAAGATTCCTTTCGGGGCTTGGAGCAGCTGAAACTATTGGCGATGAGACACCTGTCAGCACCTGTCAGAACCTGTCAGCAGCTGAACAGTTTGAACAAACACTTTTCTTCTCTTTGACGCAACAGTTTGACATTCAATCTGTGTCACCCATTGGCATCGACCAAGGCGACAACCAGCTCACCGAGCTCTCGGCTGCGATGCTGCAACATTTGCCGCTGTTGGAGCAGCTTCTCTTGGGCGGCAAGCGGGACAAGCAAAACAGAGTCATCGTGAAGGGCAATCGCATCCAGGAGCTCGGGGCCATCTTCGGACACAACGAACAGCTGCAGGTGATCGACTTCAGCGAAAACAAGCTTCAGAAGATTGACCCAGCTACGTTTGCAGGACTAAAGAAGCTCCGATGGCTGAGCTTAAGCTACAACCAGTTGACCACAATTCCTGTGGGGGCATTCCAAGGCCTTGGTCAGCTGCAGGAACTCGATTTGGACCACAACCATTTCACCACCATTCCCGCGGGGGCATTCCAAGGTCTCAGTCAACTCCACGAACTCTCTCTGTCCTATAACTGGTTGACCACAATTCCTGCAGGGACATTCCAAGGCCTTGGTCAACTCCAGGAACTCTCTTTGGGCGGCAACAAGTTGACCACAATTCCTGCAGGGACATTCCAAGACCTTGGTAAACTCCAGACACTCGATCTGGGCATCAACCAGTTGACGACAATTCCTGCAGGGACGTTCCAAGGCCTTGGTCAACTGCAGAAACTCTATCTGTACAGCAACAAGTTGACCAGAATTCCTGCAGGGACATTCCAAGGCCTTGGTCAACTGCAGAAACTTTCTCTGGGCAGCAACAAGTTGACCAGAATTCCTGCAGGGACATTCCAAGGCCTTGGTCGACTGCGATTTCTCTATCTATCTGGCAACCAGTTGACCAGAATTCCTGCAGGGACATTCCAAGGCCTTGGTCAACTGCAGAATCTCGATCTGAGCTTCAACCCGTTGACAATTCCTGTGGGGACATTCCAAGGTATTGGTCAACTGCGGGAACTCAGGCTGGAGTACAACGGGTTGACAGGAATTCCTGCGGGGACATTCCAAGGCATTGGTCAACTCAAGTTTCTCTATTTGGGCAGCAACCAGTTGACCACAATTCCTGCGCGGACATTCCAAGGTCTCAGTCGGCTCCAGGAACTCTCTCTGCATAGCAACAAGTTGACCACAATTCCGAAAGGGGCATTCCAAGGCCTTGGTAAACTCCAGAAACTCGATCTGCATAGCAACATGTTGACCAGAATTCCTGCAGGGACATTCCAAGGCCTTGGCCAGCTCCAGGGACTTATCCTGTACGAGAACCGGTTGACCACAATTCCTGCAGGGACATTCCAAGGCCTTGATCGACTCCAGACACTTTATCTGCATAGCAACGAGCTGACCACAATTCCTGCAGCGACATTTCAAGGCCGTGGTGAACTGCAGGAACTCAGGCTGAACAGGAACAATTTGACCACAATTTTTCCCGGGACATTCCACGGCCTTGGTCAACTGCAGAAACTCTATCTGGATAGCAACCAGTTGGCCACAATTCCTGCGAGGACATTCCATGGCATTGGTCAACTGCAGGAACTCACGCTGAACGGGAACGCTTTGACCACAATTCCTCCGGGGGCATTCCAAGGCCTTGGTCAACTGCAGGAACTCATGCTGAACGGGAACGCTTTGACCACAATTCCTCCGGGGGCATTCCAAGGCCTTGGTCAACTGCGGGAACTCAATCTGGGCAGCAACAAGTTGACCACAATTCCTACGGAGACATTTCAAGACCTTGGTCAACTGCAGGAACTGAGGCTGGGGTTCAACAAGTTGACCACAATTCGTACTGGGACATTCCAAGGCCTTGGTCAACTCAAGTTTCTCTTTTTGAGCAGCAACCCGTTGGCCACAATTCCTGCGAGGACATTCCAAGGCCTTGGTCAACTCAAGTTTCTCTATTTGAACAGCAACCAGTTGGCCACAATTCCTGCGAGGACATTCCAAGGCCTTGGTAAACTGCAGGAACTCTATCTGTCCCGCAACAAGTTGACTACAATTCCGAAAGGGGCATTCCAAGGCCTTGGTCAACTGCAGGAACTCTATCTGTCTCGCAACAAGTTGACTACAATTCCGAAAGGGGCATTCCAAGGCCTTGGTCAACTGCAGGAACTCGAGTTGGGCAGCAACAACGTGTTGACCACAATTTCGAAAGGGGCATTCCAAGGCCTTGCTAAACTCCAGAGACTCTATCTGCATAGCAACAAGTTGACCAGAATTCCTGCAGGGACATTCCAAGGCCTTGGCCAGCTCCGGGGACTTATCCTGTACGAGATTCGGTTGACCACAATTCCTGCAGGGACATTCCAAGGCCTTGGTCAACTCAAGTTTCTCAATTTGCGCAGCAACGAGTTGACGACACTTCCTGCGGGGACTTTCCAAGGCATTGGTCAACTGCGGGAACTCAGGCTGGAGAACAACGAGTTGACAGGAATTCCTGCGGGGACATTCCAAGGCCTTGGTCAACTGCAGAGACTCTATCTGCATAGCAACAAGTTGACCACAATTCCTGCGCGGACATTCCAAGGTCTCAGTCGACTCCAGGAACTCTCTCTGTCCGGCAACTGGTTGACCAGAATTCCTGCAGGGACGTTCGAAGGCCTTGGTCGACTGCAGAAACTCAATCTGGATAGCAACCAGTTGACCAGAATTCCTGCAGGGACATTCCGCGGCCTTGATCAACTCGAGGAACTCTATTTGGGTGGCAACCAGTTGACCAGAATTCCTCCGGGGATTTTCCACGGCCTTCGTCAACTCAAGTATCTCTATTTGGGCAGCAGTCAACTCAAGTATCTCTATTTGGGCAGCAATCAGTTGACCACAATTCCTGCGAGGACATTTCAAGACCTTGGTCAGCTGCAGGAACTCAGGCTGGAGTACAACAAGTTGACCACAATTCCTACTGGGACATTCCACGGCCTTAGACAACTCCAGAGACTCTTTCTGCAGAGCAACAAGCTGACCAGCATTTTTACGGAGACATTTCAAGACCTTGGTCAACTGCAGGAACTCAGGCTGGAGTACAACAAGTTGACCACAATTCCTACTGGGACATTCCACGGCCTTAGACAACTCCAGGAACTCAATTTGGGCCACAACAGGTTGACCACAATTCCTGTGGGGACATTCCAAGGCCTTGATCAACTCCAGAGACTCTGGCTGTATGGCAACCCTTGGAATTCTTCGAGCATTTGCATTAATTCTTCCTCGTTTCCGCTGTTGAATGATTTGCGGGGCGTAAGCTTTTGCTAAAATGTTTAGGGACGGAGCGCTTGAAGTGCATCTGGCCCTTTTGCAACCACAGTTTTGGAAGCGTCACAGCAAGCGCAGAAAAAAAAACTTCACGTATCAGTTGCCGACACAGCTTGCGGGTGCAATCCCAGATTTTTTTCATCAAAACCTATCCTCGGTCAGCCAGCCTTGATCAAGGACACGCACACATTGTTTCTCGCCAACGTTGGGGCTCTCAGAGCCGGGGACCTTCAGCCATTCCTTTGATCCCTGTGATTGCGCAAAGCTTGGTGTCGCGTACCCTTTGGATGTACCTTGAGGGCACATCTTGCTATGCGCCCGATGAAATCTTCGTCACCCCATGTTGCAAGGCACATGATCCTCAACATATTTGAGGTCTAGGCATGCCGGGTTGAGGCAATACTCACATCCAGCTAGCACTTGGTACTCAAGGTCCCGACTTACTTGAGTAGCTCAATGTCAGATTGTGCATGTAAGATTTCACAAAGTGCACATGAGTATAGAAAAACAATCCCTCCAGCCACCATGGCGCACACTATGCGATTCCATATGGATTTTAGGTCTGACATACCAAAGGCTCCGCTTTTTCACGGAAGCAAGCTGTGCACATGGTTGATATGCTTCCTTACATTCCAGCCGAGAAGTTGCACAGGCACATGCGCACAATACTTGATGCATATTCAAGTAGTTGAAACTCAGAATAGAATGAATAGAAGTATGATTGTTCAAAGATTCCAGCATGTTTGGAAACTCGCATCCTGGTGGCGGATTGCCCCTCCGTCAGTTGTGTTTAGTTGTGTTGTTCTGCAGAATGACACATAATGTTATAGTAATCCCCCAAAAGATGTGAAGGGTTCAATTTATCGGTAATACAAGTAATGATTATTTCACCCACTCATGTTTGCTTCTCTCCTTGCTTTGTTTCAGATTATATTATTGCATTCTTTTCTCTTATTATAAATCTAATGTTTTCACACATTTCGTTTTACGTTTTTAACGGTTCTCTTTGTTTTATCCCATTTATTACAGAATATCCAAAATTATATGGACCACCCAAACCAAAGATTTTTTTGACATGTTTCGTAGGTTACACTTGTTTCAAATGCGACCAACTGCGATATACTGCGATGATCTTCCAAACACCTGGAATTTGGCACTCTAAGTTGGCGAAGGGCTGGAAAACCAAGAAGCAAAGTGGACAGAACTCAAAAGTCAACAGATCATTCTCTGCTTTCTGAGCCTGGAACTCTTTGGTCTTTGGGCCCAACTTAGAATATCCATATGATCCAGATGGGTCCCAAGCTGTTGGAAGTCATCCCAGTGGTCTTGCCACCAGGCCATGCAGGAAGTGAAAGGGAAACTGACGGTTTTTCTGCCGCCTGGCATCGGAGGAAAATCTCCTGCAACTTTTTTCTCAGTCGCTTGGACTTGGATTGTGGTTGTTTGTCAGTCACAAGTTCTGCATGTACAATGCACGCTGCTTCACTCATCCACATCTCCAAGCAGTTCTTGACACGATGAAACTACGATGAGGTTTGTGCGTGGATAGCAGGTTTCACTCTCACTTTTTCAGAGGTTTCACGGCAAGGACCCTGAGACTCCCCGATTGGAGTGATTTGTTTGGTGATTTGTGATGCAGTGCAGTGCACTTCAAAACTCGCCTGGTAGAGTGCGGAGTGAAGGGTTTGGTTGGACTCAATTGAAACGAATCATATTTCTCGGTTTCGGTTTTTCTTGCCTTTCCTCGATGAGAGTATTGTGCCCACCGGACTCGTAGATTGTACCACCTTGTTGGTTCCCGCGACTATTTTGCAGCGTGTCTTTGACACACCGCAATGGTTTCAGAGATCCATTCCAATCGCTTTTGAAACCGTCCAACCAAAGTAAAACCCACAACATCCCACAACACTTTTTACTTCTAAGTCTATGGCCGACATCCCAAAAAGATCAAGGAACATGTTCACAACATAGATTGTACCTCAGACACAATCAAGTGATGCGTAGTTGACTGAGTTTGAGTCAAGCGCTGAGTGTTGGAGCAATTCAAAGGTCGTTGAAGTTGTCGATCTGTCTGGGTTGAAAAGCACTTCAGATTCATAAGGTCACACAAAGCACCAAGAAACCCTACAGAGCCACACAGACATTCTTGCAGATAGCAATGACAATTGCCAAGGTTGGCATTGTTTTCAACTGCAGACTCAGAGTCTTACAGGTAGCTGTGAGTGTTGATTGCATCACGAATCTAACGTGACAAAGGTACACTCCTTATGCCATGATCACGTCACAGTATTACATTCAGCTGCACAAGCTATGTCGGAAAGCCATGTTGTCGCCAACGAGATCTGACAGGCGGGAGATCTGGATTCCTGGGGCCCTGGGGTGTGGGCAGGATTGTGGCACTGTGGAGGATTTTTCATGGCAGGTGGTTGAAGAACCACAGAAACACTGACAGCAACCAGCTGGGTCTTCATTTTGTGAAGTGATTTGTTTCCCAGTCGGCTTTCAATTCAGTTTCCCACTCATCCCTCTGAGTAGATCAGATAAAATCAAATCAATACATGCGCGCGTTGTGATCTATGTTGACAAATTCTTCACACCACAAAAGACTCGCAAGAGATTGGAAAATTGCAATGTTTTCACCAACATTGTGGGGAAACACCTTGGTCGGCTTCATCTTGCCACACCATGATATGCTTTGCCGGTCTCCCGCCAGGTTGGTCTGATACCACGTTGTATAAGAAAAAGGTGACCTTCTGCTATCTTCTGTAAGGGCTAAAGGTGGATTTTTCTTACAGAAGGTAGCCCTTATGCAGACAAGACATGACAAAACTATGCGAAACTCATTTTTTGGTTTGATAGAGTTCAACCTGCAAGCGCACCAAAGCTTTTTGGAACCGCAGAGCAGTCCTTCGATTTCAAGCTTCATCCGTGTGCTGTTTCGCCGAAACCATCAGCAAGGTGGACATGTGCGGTTCCTGCTTCAGTTCCATCCTGAGTCGCTTAGACAGCTGCGCAAATCCAGCAGATTCATCCAGATTCACATCTGCACATGCCACGGCTGCGAGAGTGTTCTCGATACCTCTGATATCCCTGTGACTGCAGCGTTTTGATTTAATTCAAGGTGTTCAGCTGCTTAGTTTTTCAATTGCTGGATTTCCTTGGAATTTTTGCAATGGCCACAGCTGCCGTAACCGTCCTCGGTGGCGCCGGCGCATCGGGCGTGATCCCATGCCCACTGCCCGCGACGGTGGAAGATGCCATTTGCGCTGTGCAAAAGACGCAGCCAGGTGAGCCATTTCAAACGTCATGGGGGGTTTTTATCAGTCATGAAGGGGCTCATGCCATTGATTCTTAAATGTTATCAACCAGAACGTGACAGTTTCCCAACAAACAGACTTTTCTGACCGCTCACTTGGGGATGTCCGAAACTCAGGTGGCTGGAAGAATGCCGTGCTTTCCCAGGGTGTCCAACATTTAAAACCAAGCACTGCCCTGGAAGCTGCTGCGTTGCTTGGTTTCGAAGACGTTTACTGCACTGCTGGACTGGTGACGTGTCGTGCCTTCGACAGTAGCTACGCTACTTCTCCAGGTTGGGACATGGGAAACTGAGGTATACCTTGGTGAGCTACGATACCTTAGGCAGCCGTGCGATCAACGTCCCACAAACGGAATGCCGTGGTATCAACTTGAAGCAGCTGTCGCAGCTGGTGGATTTCATCCGTGACCATGCGCACCTCTGGATGGAGACGTTCCTTGACATAAGTGGAGTTGGTTCTAGCTGGTCCTAGTTGTTGCTTTCAGGCATATCCACAGCTGCCAAGTTCATGTCGTTTTCTTTGTTTCAAGTTCAGCTTTCGCTCCGTACTGTAGCTTTGTCAAACCCCAGGTACTCTGGCAGCCCAAACTTTGAACAGCCGTTGGAGCTGCAGACCTTCAACCTCTACCACACATCTCATTGGGTCATAAAGCCAGCCACCCTGCGGTACAGGTGCAGCTTCGTGGAGCTCGTTGCCAAAGACGCAGAAACGCAGTTCCCGTGTTGGTTTGTGAGCCATGCGTGGCAAGAAGCCGTGTGTCGCTTTGTTGCTTGCCTGCGCCAGCACGCGGAACTGCGGAATGCCGTGGGACTAGCATACTGGGTCTGTGCGTACGCAAATAATCAACACAAGCTGCAGGAGTGCTGTGCTCATGACATCTCATGGCTTTGGCGATTTAAAGTTTGGATTCAATCCCAAATCATGGTCACGAAAGCTAGCGGTAGCTAGCTGAGTTACTCTTCCTTCAGCAAGGGAGGGACAGGTCTGAGTCCAACACAGTGATTTTTCACTTGAACCCCCCCAAGCTTCTGGGGCATTTTGAAGCAGTCTCGGAAGCAGATGGTCACGGGCTCAAATCCTGCCAGGGCCGTCCCTCTGTAACTCTCTAGAACAGGATTTGTTGAGTTTATGTGCTGTCCAGTTGATGCCAGCCGAAACGTGCCGCAGCTGCTCAACAACAAAAAAACAAGGTGGTGAAAAAAGAGATCTGGACAGGCATCCTATCTCATGAGACACAAACTTTATAGAGTCACCATCTTATTTGGTTCAGATGTTTTACGACTTGCAACGGAAGATTGCATGTTGTTCGGATGGAACTCTCGCGCGCGATGCCTCACCAGAACCTTGGGCTCGATAGAGTTCTGTCTGACTCAGGTCAACACTGTGTAGATTTGAGCCCCATCAAAAATTACAATTCGGGTGGGGCCCAAACTTTATAAAGTCACCTTCTTCTTTGGTTCAGATGTTTTACGACTTGCAACGGAAGATTACATGTCGTTCGGATGGAACTCTTGCGCGCGATGCCTCACCAGAACCTTGGGCTCGATAGAGTTCTGTCTGACTCAGGTCAACACTGTGTAGATTTGAGCCCCATCAAAAATTACAATTTTGGATGGACCCCGAACTTTATAGAGTCACCATCTTCGTTTGTTCAGATGTTTTACGACTTGCGACGGAAGAATGCATGTTGTTCGGATGGAACTCTTGCGCAAGATACCTCACCAGAACCTTGGGCTCGATAGAGTTCTTTCTGACTCAGGTCAACATTGTGTAGATTTGAGCCCCATCAAAAATTACAATTGTGGGTGGGGCCCAAACTTTACCATCCTCTTTGGTTCAGATGTTTTACGACTTGCAACGGAAGATTGCATGTTGTTCGGATGGAACTGTTGCGCAAGATGCTTCAGAGTTCTTTCTCACTCCGGTCAGCACTGTGTAGATTTGAGCCCCATCAAAAATTACAAGTTTAGATGGGCCCAAACTTTATAGAGTCACCATCTTCTTTGGTTCAGATGTTTTACGACTTGCAACAGTAGATTGCATGTTGTTAGGATGGAACTCTTGCGCGCGATGCCTCACCAGAACCTTGGGCTCGATAGAGTTCTTTCTGACTCAGGTCAACACTGTGTAGATTTGAGCCCATCAAAAATTACAATTTTGGATGGGGCCCAAACCTTATAGAGTCACCATCTTCTTTGTGGTTCAGATGTTTTGCGACTTGCAACGGAAGATTACATGTTGTTCGGATGGAACTCTTGCGGAAGACGCCTCACCAGAACATTGGGCTCGATAGAGTTCTTTCTGACTCAGTTCAACATGTGTAGATTGGAGCCCCATCAAAAATTACAATTTTGGATGGACCCCAAACTTTACAGAGTCACCATCTTCTTTGGTTCCGATGTTTTGCGACTTGCAACGGAAGGTTACAGGTTGTTAGGATGGAACTCTTGCGCAAGATGCCTCACCAGAACATTAGGCTCGATAGAGTTCTTTCTGACTCAGGTCAACACTGTGTAGATTTGAGCCCCATCGAAAATTGTGATTTTGGATGGGGCCCAAACTTTATAGAGTCACCATCTTCTTTGGTTCAGATGTTTTACGACTTGCAACGGAAGATTACAAGTTGTTCGGATGGAACTCTTGCGCATGATGCCTCACCAGAACACTAGGCTCGCTAGAGTTCTTTCTGACTCAGGTCAACACTGTGTAGATTTGAGCCCCATCAAAAATTAGAATTTTGGATGGACCCCAAACTTTATAGAGTCACGATCTTCTTTGGTTCCGATGTTTTGCGACTTGCAACGGAAGGTTACAGGTTGTTCGGATGGAACTCTTGCGCAAGATACCTCGCCAGAACATCAGGCCCGATAGAGTTCTTTCTGACTCAGGTCAACACTGTGTAGATTTGAGCCCCATCAAAATTGTAATTTTGGATGGGGCCCAAACTTTGTCGCGTACCAATCTTCTTTGGTTGAAACTTTCTAAGCTCGCCAGAGCTTCCAACAATTTGGCAGTGGCCCCAAAAAAATTCTTTGTGACTCAGATCAGCGGTTGAGGATTTCAGCCCCATCAAAAATTACACTTCTAGATAAGGCCCCAACTTTATTCAGTAACCATGTTCTTTGATTCGCATGTTCTATGATTGAAAGCTGGACATTACACAATTCTTTGCAACCATCTTGACTCCTTCCCTGTGGATGAGTATCGTCTGCACTTCCCTGCATGTTTCCAAGTTCCGCTCACCTATTTCCACATTCATATGACCTTTAGCTTTAGCTTTCGTTCACCCCCCCCCCGGGGCCTCAAGTTTCGATGAAGACGTTTTTTTGTGATTTTCCCATTGGTAAATCCACCATCTATTGAATCCAATCTCCTGGTGTTTTTTGGTGTTTTCCTGAAGCAAAAAATCCAAGAAGTGCTCGGCAGGACGAGATCTCGGCCAACCCGCGAAGGACGTCCTTCTACAAGGCCATGAAACTGGCTGTTGGGGTCGTGCTGATCTGGACAACCTCCGCGCGGTGGCTGCGGGTCTATGCATTGCTGATGGGCCCTGGCAGTGCTTAGAAACGAATTGTTCAGATGTGGTGCTTGCAAGTTTCGATTTGCTTCAGAAGATTTGGGCTGTGTCTTCAAAAGAGCGGAACGCACTGATGCATGCCATGCATGGCAATGGTGCAGGAAGCAGAGCAACAGCTCGCAAAAGGAAACAGAAACAAAGCAATAACCAAGCAAATGGCTTCAATTTGCAACAAGCAGGTGAGATTCTCAAACTACTCTCTCAGCTTTTCCAATTGTTGGGACTCGGGGGTGGCGGTGGGAATTTGCTTCAACAGCTCAGTGCTATGATGGGCCATGGCGGGTGTGCCAAACCCAAGAAGCTTAAGAACAAGAACAAAAATAAACAGGGCGGTGATGGTGGTCTGGGGGATTACGGCCAAGGGGGTGGTTTTTACCCTTCTTCTCCTCCTACTCAGCCTCCGCAGAATACTTCGAAACCACATCCTAAGCAAAAGGCGGACGTCCAAAAACAGCCACACACAGAGCAGCAGCTCCACAAAACGCCCAAGACCTTTGCTGAAATGGTTCGAGCCAACACTGCGTTTAAGCCGGTGTGGAGCCTGCGTCAGCCAGACTGGACGGGGCCCATTTTGGGCTTTGATGACTTTTGTGTCGCACTGGATAAGCCTGGAAATATTTCAGCTACAGTGCAAGTGAACTCGGAAGAGCAACTTGAGGAGTTGCAGGTTTTGCTGAAAGGCGATTCCCCTGATATCAAAAGAGAGCTCAACATCACCGCTGTGATGCTAGCGCCGAAAGAGGCCAAGCAGACTGAGGAGGATCGACCTTTGCGGATGGTGCCAGGAAAGATCTCGGGCAAGGTGCAGCCCAGGCAGGCGTTTGTGATCCCACTTCAAGGCCAAGGGCCATCACTCAAGAGAGCTGCCGTTGTGTCAGCGGCTCCTGCAGTGCAGCCTGAAACTGTTGTAGTGAGATTAAGTGTTGATGCAAAATATTTGCAAAACAACGAGTGGCAGAGCATCCAGGCCAAGCCAAAGGCAAACGCGCAGGCTTGGTTGCATCGGCATGTTCCAGAGCATGTTGCGGGCAAAGTCTTTGATATGTGGGCGTTTCAGCAAGAAAGCATGAAAGGCGGAGGCAAGCCAGTGATCACTGGCCTTTTACGCATTGAGCGAAGTGCTGCCAAAGCTCTTCTAGGCTGCTCAGGCAAGAGTACCTGGTTTGTGGAGCCTTTGCAATGGAACAACTCCGTGATTGAATCTTGCGATGTTGAGTGGGTCAAGAAAAGTTCTGAACTTGATGGGCCCAGCTACTTGCAGAAGGTTCAGTCCATGGCTGGTGACCTGGGCATTGCCCGGGGATGGAATGGACTGGGAGTACGTAAGCCCAGGAGCGCCGAGCCTCCTCCTAAGGCCAGAGCTTGGCGCGTCACTGGTGTTCCGCGAGATTGGGCGGCTAGTACCTTGACTCAGGAACTTACACGTGCTGGCCTGACTGAACTCAAGGTGTTGTCCCGGAAAACTGTGGGCAAACAAGTGGAATGGGGGGTGCAGGCCAATGCTCAAAAGGATATGGATTTCATTGAAATTCAGGCTGGCGAAAAAGTCATTGTAGCTGTTGAAGCTCCAAGACAAAGACGGCAGAGAACACATACCATGAAACTGGCTAGCAATGGAAGGGTCAGTTATAACCAGAGCCATGCATGGCAGGCGATTGCCACGCCTGCTCCTCGCAAATCTTTCTACATGGGAACGCCAGTCAAAAAGCCAGTGACTATTGCAGGGGCTGAGAAGGTTCCTGCTGAGAATTTGGACGAGGACAAGTCGGACGCAAAGATGGACAATGCTGGAGAACCCGCTGGGGCAAAAAGAACTGTCAGTACTCCTGAAAAGAGTCCTCCGGCCAAGCGTGTTGCGGGGGAACCCAAGCCCCCTCACAATATGAAGGTGAAAAGCATCCCTGCTGACGGCAACTGTCTTTTTGAAGCCCTTGCTCAAAGTTTGGGCGGAAAAACAGCCAGGAATGTTCGTGCAAGCGTTGTCACCCACCTGACCAAGCACCAGGGTCGTTACAAGCCCTGGTGGGACGGCAAGGAGCCAACAGAGGCGGAGAATGCTTGCGAATCATGGGAGAGCTATCTCACCATGCTCTCAAAGATTGGTGCTTGGGGCAGTGCTCTTGAAGTTTCTGCTGCGGCTGTGCACTACGATCGCCCGATCATTGTCTTCCAGCCTCGTGGGGTTCCGGAGATTTACAATGGTCGTGGCAAGGGTGGTGCTCCCATCGCTTTGTGGTTTCGTTCAAAGCACTATGAACGACTTGAAGGTGCTTTCCCTCCTGAAGTTTTGACTCCGGCCGCAAATGGTCCAATGCAGGGCAACAGAGGTGGAGGATCGGAATGTGGCGCTACTTCAGTTGGTGCCACCAGATTGTCAGCTTTGCCGTCACTGGTTCATAGCAACAATAAACGTGGAAGGTGTGCTAGCCCCGCGCCCGCCTCTACTTTGTCAGAGCAGCGCAAGAATTCTTCTTCCCCTGCGGCTGCTACTTCGGGTCGGGGTCCGTGCACGCCACGTGCAGCCAGTGAAGGACAAGACGCAGCCAGTGCTTCGTCCAGACGCACTAAGCGTACTGAGTGGACATGCCCTTTGTGTGACTTTTCCACTGGGGTGTGCAAAGGATGGGTTGACAAGAAGAGAGCTCATATCAATGCTTGGCATCCCGATGAGAAGGAACAGTTGAAAATCGGCTTCAAAAACACTTTGCCTGCGCTGTCTGCAGTCAAGAAGGGAGGAGTCTATAGCTGGAAGTGTCCTGTTTGCAAACTTGGCTTGTCCGCTGATCACAACCTCAAACCTGGCCAAGTGTACAGCGTCATCCGCAAGCATAGGGAAGAAAAACATCCTCAGGCGGATGCCAAGCTCTTCCACAAGGACAGCAGCTTCAGACGGGAGAATGCTAGCAAAGCCACGCGCCAGGTGCGTGCAGCTGCAGTGGCTCGGAGGTTGCTTGGCTTCAAGCGTGGCGATGCTGGAGCACATGACCCCACTTTCGTTACCATTCCAGCCACAGGAAATGGCAAACAGAAAAGAGTTGGAATGTCTTACGTCATTTGCAAAACTTGTGGCAGTATGGCTTTGACAGCGAAGCGTTTGGCAAAGATTGCTTGTGAACAGTATGCTTCCAGCAAAGGGCCCAAACGAAAGCAGTTGGTGGAAAGATTGCGTGCATGCCTCAAAAATGCAGACATCAGCGATGACCTCAAGAAGGGTGCCCGCACAGTTTTGGAAATCATCGACTCTGGAGCATTTCGCACCACTGATACTGCAGCAGACAGCACGCATCAGATTGAGGCCATTGTGTGGCCTGCCAATTTTACGGTGCGTTTTGCTTGTGTGCATTGCAAGCGTTGTGTCAACAACATCAGACGGCTTACAGGAAGTCAGTGTCCTCATAAAATGGTTTGGACTAAGTTTCGAAAGGGCCAGAGGGATATTTTGGTGCCTCTTGCGGCTCAGGCTCCAAGTGCCAGACAGCGAGCTGCTTCGCGAGCTTTGGACATTTTGGGATTGCAGCAGGATGGCGCTGTGGATCAGAACCCATGACGGGCTCTGACAGCACTATGCGGTTGGGGACTATGAATGTACGGTCCTTGGGAGGCCGCTTGGGTGGTGTGCTTGACTTTGCTCAGCTCCAGAATTTACATGTTCTGTGTCTTCAAGAAACTAGAGTTAACAATCACAGCTGGAATGCTGTGACTCGTGCCGTCAAGGCACGCGGGTGGCAACTTTTTCCTGGCCCTCAAGGAAGAAATTCGAAAAATGTAGTGGAAGGTGGTACATTGGTTCTAACAAAGTGGCCTGCTGAGGCCTTGGCCCTTCCTGTCGACATGGTGTCTGTGGAAAGATCCATGGCCGTCAAACTCTATAGACCTCAGCAAAGGCCGTTGATTCTCATCAATGTTTACTTACATGCTTCAGATCGCACAGCTGCCAGCCGTGCGCTGGGTGCGCTGTTCGAGTTTGTTGCTGCTTGTGGTGAAGATACAGTGATCATGGGGGACTTCAATTTGGAAATTCATTGTTGGCCAATTTCTAACGTTTTGGCTACTGGACAGTGGCGGTCCTGTGATGAGCTGGTTTGCGGAGATCGTGTTTTAGGGGGTACACATCGAACTGCTGCAGGTGTTTATACAGGTGTGGTCATTGACTATGGCTTGTGCACTCCTCGGTTAATTATTACTGGTAGGGAGCAACATCTTGGCGTGGCTGACCATGACGCGGTGGTTTACAACTTGCATGTGCCTGGTTCATTATCCACACCGTGGACTCTCCCAGTTGGTGCCCCTTTGCATTCTGAAAAGGTCGCTGAAGCTTCTTGGCTAAGTGCTTGGGAAGAAGTATGTGACGATTTTGGAAATGCATTGAGTACAGGCAACGTGGACTCTGCTTGGACCTTACTTAGCAACTGCGCAGAATCTCTTCTTCTCGCACGTGGCAAAACTGGTCGTGCTATGCGCCAGGGCCCGCAGCAAATTGCCAGTCCTCCGTCTTCAAAAGCGCCTTCTTTGCAAACAGTGAAAGAGCGCAAGCTCAGACGCTTCGCACGAAGAGTGGTGGAGTACCAAAAGGCCCCGTTGCCAGAGTTGGAGAAGAAGTTGGTTCGTGATGGCCCCCATTTACATCATTCTTTGGCTTTTTTCTCTTTGGATGACCCCAGGTTGGTTAGTGCAGTGCTAGAATTGGCAAATGCAGAAGCTACAGCAGCGTCCAAGTTACGCTTGGAGGCGTGGAAGGACAGCGTGCAGGAAAATGCCACCAAACTAGGCAGGTGGGTCAAACAGGTGCCGCCCGCCAGTCCTACTGCAAGTTTTGATGGCCCCATTCTACCTGCAGATAGGGCCAAGTGCGCAGCATTGGATTGGGAGAGGTATTGGAATCTAGGGTCGCTTCCGAATTTGAATCTGGGGGACCAGTTGTACTCTCAGATTGGCTCTGCAAGCGATCCATTGCCGGATGACTGTATTCAGGTTAGTGGTTCTGAATTGGTTCGGATTGCGCTCAAAGCGAAGGACAAGGCTCCGGGCATGGATGCCTGGACAGCTCTCCATTTGTGCAATCTTCCCATTGCTTTTTGGGATCAGGTCGGTGCTCTTTGGGATGCTTGCTTGCGACATGGCTGTGTTCCTACGATGTGGAAAGATGTTAGAATTGCTTTGTTACCAAAAGCTACTGGTGGCATGCGCCCTTTAGCCATTGTCACTGTCCTGTGGCGTATTTGCATGAGTGCCACTCTGAAAAAATTACAGCCTTGGATTGCTGAATGGGCTTCGCCCGAACTTTTTGGTGGTCTACCAGGCAAGGGCATCATGGAAGTCCATGAGCGTTTCTACGAAGCTGTCAGCACGGCAAAGCAGTCTCGTGTCGATTTGGTCGGGTGCAAAGCTGATGTTCGCAAGTGTTTTGATTCAGTTTGCCCCCAGACAGCCATTAAAGTGTGGCGATGGTTCGGTGCTCCCTCATCAATTTGTGATTTACTCGCTGATTTTTACAGTGAACAGCGTCGTTGGTTTGCTT